GCAGATGTTTTAGGAGTGCAACTTTCATAATTCCTTCCTATGGGCAATGGTGTAGGACTGATGGAGACTGTAGGTCAAAAACATCTGGAAGGTATCAGTTTTCCAACCCATTCTAGATCAAGACTTAAAGCATAGATATGTAAAAGCTGTATACAGCAGCAAGGGATTAATAAAAAGATAGATATAGATAGTCTCTCTGAGTATGCACACACTACTCTTAATACTAGTTTTGTGTGCTTCAAAGTTGAAGTGCTCCAGTGTTTCCTTTTCCACCCAGCAGGGCAGAAGTGTAGAAGAGCAAGAAAATATCGTCCCCCTTCTCTCCTTTTCACAGTTACCAACTACGAATTTATTTCTAATCTAATCTAAAAACTGCAGAGGTGAAATGACCTTATGGATAATTGAATCAGGGCCCTGTCAAGGAGACACAATAGGGAATTGAACTCTCACAACCTCTGGCTCCGCAGACAAATACCTAAACCACTAATCGGCTCCGCAGACAAATACCTAAACCACTGAAGACTAGTCTAATTTTTGGCCTATGTGTTTCTAATACTGTATAGGCAAAAAATTAGACTAGTCCTCAGTGGTTTAGACATCTGGCTGGTAAGCCAGAGTTTGGGTGTTCCATTCCCCACTGTGTCTCATTGACCAGGGCTGGACTTGATGATCCATTGGGTCTCTTCCAATTCTGCAGTTCTAAGATTGTTTTTGTTGTTAATTCCATGCCAAGCATATCATCTGATATGACACCTAATTAAATAACTTCAGAGATCATTTCACCCCTGAGGACAGGCCACCTTCGCCGCAAGGCTCTTTCCTATCATATAAAATCTGTACATCCCCTTTTGTCATGCAACCAGTTGCCGTGCATTTATTTGCCTTAAAGAGTTGGTGACACTTCACGTACCTGTAACCACTGTTTCACTGAGCAGATCCAGTGGTTTTAATACTCAAATGTGAGCATGTCCTGAAATAGTTATAGAAACAAGAAAATAAATAGTGCAGCTGCCAATGTAAAATAATCTTGCGCTGAGAGGCTGAAAGGCATAGTAGATTCCCTCTTTGTCATTTTGACTTGCATTTGAAGCTAGTTGTGGGCTTAGTTCCAGCTCAAAAAGCCATTCACTTCAAAGGCTTCTAAATTGTCCCAAGGAGCTAATTCTGGCAGGCAGTTGTTATTGTCTGGCAAGTCATCCTAATAGCAAAAGCCGTCTGCTCTCTCAAATTAGTGTTTATTTCAGGGGTCAGAAAAGACCAGTCCTGTTTTGTTTTTGTTTGTTTTTTTCTGACAAGAGACGGGAGCAGAGGAACACTGAATATTGACAGCTATTTTTCTGACCACCGTTTGATTTGACTTCCTAATACATTATTTTCATTCCCACTGTGGTGTAGTGGATAGCGTAATGAGCTAGGACTCTGGAGATTGGGGTTTGAATCCCCCACTCAGCCGTGAAAACTCACTGGGGAAGTCGAACTCTAACCACTCCTTAAATATCTCACTTACCTTGAGAGATTTTAGGTAGGTAAGTAAGTAAAGTTTTATTATGTGATCACAGACCCGATTATACGAAGATAAATACATAGAATAAATACACAGTATAGTATAAAATCTTGCTATAGTGTTTTGCGAATTCTCAGAACTGAAAATAAAAACTTGGCCACTAACTGTGTTATTATTTGATTCTCTCCGAACAACAGAAACTTCAGATAGCCTTTGGGAGGTAGACCTGTACATTTACTCATGATTGAACCAAGATTTCAAATGTGTTTGTTCCTATGTAAGCTACATTCTAAAATGACGTGCGCCAAGGTCTCAATATTTTTTCCTGCAGGGACAGATCCTTTCACTATATGGGGTGTGATTAAAACACACTTTTAAAAGGACTGAGGTAAAGCAGTTAATTCCAGCCCTTGAAAAGGCAAGGCGATATCTCAGTGCTGTAATTTGGTATTGGTAGTTAGCTGGCCTTATTAACGGTCGTTATAAGTAAGTTCCAACTTGACAGCACAGAACACATACACACACATAAACACACAAATTAATTACAATTTCATTTCCTACACCCCCAGTGGAGGTCACATAACTTTTTCAGTATCAACAAAGCAGCTCACAGTTGTAGTGTTTTTGACTCTAGGCCATACCTATTTCTGCATCTTTTGGGATCTGTCATTGTAGCGTTCTCCTTTTGTTAGATCTATGGTTCTTGTACTATGTAATGGTTTATGAATATTCATGTTGCTGAGAGGAGGAGTCAAGAAAGATGCTATAAGAGGCGGGGTCAGAGAGTCAGAGGAGAGATTAAGTGAGACTGAGTCAGTAAGAGTAAGAATCAGATAGAGTAATAGAGTGTGGAGTGTGGGAATTCTGAGAGGTGATTAGATACTGAAGATATTCATGAATCAAATTAAGTTACTGTAATCAATAAACAACTGTTCTATTTAAAAGACCTTGGAGTGTGGACCTGAATCTTTCTGAAATAAATGGTGATTTAGAGATCACCTGGTGGCTCCAAGTGAAAAGAGTGAGGTTTGTTTGCCTTCCTGTGCTCTGAGGCTTGAAGGTCAAGCAAGGGGCACGAGGGTGGACATCACAGTCATATTTCTAGAATCTGGCACAAGTGAAATTGTCATGAAGGGGTATCTATTGTTATGTTTTAAAAGAAAGTTTATAATTCTCCTAGTGTATAGAAATGCATTATAAATATTTTGTGAAGAATCAGAAGCATCAGCAACCTTGGTCATTTCTTCCCCAGCCTGTTATATGTCACATCAACTGACTTCATGTGTGTTTGCCTTTGCCACCATTGTCTACATAATTTTTATCCATGTAATTTCTTCTTTTCAGCTTTTAACCTTTTCACTTGGGGGTGTTCAGAGTGGTGTTATCATTCCTTTCACTGGCTTAACTCTTCCCTCTTGCACCATTTCCCACTTTGCACTTCTATTAGTTTGCAGGGAGGCAGGTACAATATACAGTAGATGGGTTGTCACTAGGGATGGGGACGACTATAAAAACGGATCGGTTTTCCCGATGAATATAGCCAATTTGTTCAATATTTGTCGATCCATATTTGTGGGTTCCAGAGACCCCCACGAATACAAAGGGATGAATATTTACCCATTTTTATTCGTCCTTCGTATTAAAAAACAAAAACAAAAAACCACCATTCTGCTTACTGGCCACCACCACCCCACACAGCCACCCAATACCACAGACTCCTTTCCCTACCTTAGGCACCACCCCACGCCATCCCCACCGACACCCTCTTACCTTAATCACTGCTTCCAAGGTCTTCTGGCCTCGGAGCCATGCATGTAAAAATGGAGACTGGCTGCCCTTTGCAAAGATGGTGGTTGCAGCTTCATTTAGGGTAGGGAAGCTTCAGCTGCCATCTTTGCAAAGGACAGCCTGGATTCCCTTAGCCTGCCTTAAGGGGACCAAATTTGTGGGTGAATAACTCAGATTTTCGTTGCAAGGGCCAGCCAGTCTACCTTTTTACACACGGTGGTTGTGAAGGCCTGATGGAGATCTGGCAGCAGCTATTAAGGTAAGGGGCTGTTGATGAGAGTGGGGTGGGGGCTAAGGTAGGGAAAGGAAGGGGATGTGGGGGTAGGCTGTTGGGGTGGCTGGCTGTGTGTGGGGTGGCTGCCTATCAGCTTCTGATCAGATGATCGGTGGCCAGTAAAAAGAATGGGCTTCTGTGCCATGTGGTAAACTCTCCTGGGGGGACCCAATTTGTGGGTGAATAACTTCGATGTCTGATATCCAGTCTTCACCAAAGTTGGCAGACATTACTGCTGTAATGTGCTCTACATGGGGCCACCTTTGAGACTGATGTGGAAGCTTCAAATGGTGCAGAACACAGCGGCCAAACTTCTTACTGGGGTGAGAAAACAACATATCTCCCCTACTCTGGCCTCCCATTCATTTCGGCATTGATTTCAAAGTACTAATGATGACATATAAAGCCCTAAATGGTTTAGGACCTCAGTATCTGGCGGAACGCCTCCTCTCACCTAGATCGACCCGAATCACTTGCTTTAGTCAAGACAGGCAGCTGAGGGGCCTAACGCCGAAGGAGGCCCGAAGAAAAAGAACAAGAAAGTGGGGCTTTTCAGCAGTGGCCCCTCGCCTCTGGAACAATCTCCCCCCCCAGAAATTTGTCTGGTTCCCTTGCTGGGTGTTTTTAAGAGCCAACTCAAGACCTGGCCCTTTCCTCCTTTCAATACCGACTTTATTTGCTATCTTCAATTGTATTAATTATGTTGTTTTATTTTATTATTCTTGAGTCTTGTTAGCCGCCCAGAGTAGAATTTGGTCTAGATGGGTGGGATATAAATTAAATAAATCAAATAAATAAAAATAAATATGGTATAACGAGTGACATGACAAGCTATATTATAGGAATATTCAAAACTCTGTAAGAGGCATCCCAATTATGCATGCTGCATTTTCTCCCTCTGTACAGTAGGGGAACAAGATTGTGCCTTCCACATCAATGATATATTGCTTGTCATGCCAGGTGAAATTTTTACTAATAATGTCTAATGCTACAAGTTAAGAAGTAGGCAATCTAACAGCACGTTTTACCTGGAAAGTTCTCTCTCTCCCCCCGCCCCCCGAGTATTCTCTGCAAGGGTTCCATGCATATCTGGTTTCTGTGTGAGAAAGATCAAATTATTACCTGGGTGTGGGGAAAACCCCTGAATAGGATGTAGATGCAAGAAATCCAATATGTGGCCTCAGATCACATAACTTGGATTATCAAATGTAATCAATTGCAATATTTGGACCTATACACTTAGATTTTGTAGACATTCGACTCATCAAAAGATTCACCCATGTATGGATATTCAGGTATACCTAGTGAGTGGAATGGGAATGTACAGTATCATTATCCCACCAGACCTAGAAACAAGCACGGTGAGTGAGTATCATTCAATCCAGGCTTGAATCAGCTTTAATATTCTCTTTTTGTCTTCTTTATTTTCTCTAGGACTTCCTCACTGTACTTCCATCGATTCATCTGTTTGGAAAGTATGGCAAAACTTATTCCAGAGCTGGACAAATAGTGTAAATATTTCTCTGCCAACGAATTTTGTGAAATCTGAAAAGATAACAATAAGGGCATAAAGGTTTTAAACAACATTTGAAAACAAAACTTTAGATTGAGAGAACCATGCTGGACTTCAGGATCTTCTTTACCTACATGCAACTACTGTACAATATAAACCTAGTATTGGAATTCCAAATTAATAGCTCAGGAGCCATCAGCAAGTTCATGACTTGAAGTGTTTTTGTGATGGAATCTGTAAACCTCATTAGAAAGAGAACTCCATCTTTTCCTTCAATAAGTGGTAATATTTCTAATCAGTTTTATCCACTGATGAATTTGGAAATCAAAGGCACCTTGTGGGATGAGCTCATCAATGTGAAGAATTAGCTAAATGAACCTATTCCAATAATAATTGTGGGGTGTTTTTTACAGTTCTGTGATGTGCCCTTTTTCTCCAATTAAAAAAATGCAAAATAAAAATTTCAAATGCTCACTCTGTTAATGATGGGATGTCATCTCTAAGTGATTAAATTAATCAAGATTTCTGTATAATGATCACAATAGGGTACTTTCAAACTGCAAAGGTACCATTAAAACAAAGATATGCTTGCTTGAAAATCTTTTGATTTCAGGGAATATATCAGCCATGGCATAATAAGTAATTATATCATTCATCTGATTCATATGGTTTCTATTTCTGATTTAACTCCTGCTGGATCTCCTTCTTCTCTTCCCTACCCCTTCAGATTTTTCCACTACTTGTGATTTTTATACCTGGGCACAAATGATATTCTGGGATTATATCACAATTTTGGTGTCATTGAAGACTTTGTTGCTTCTTACACATTCTTGATTGATTGAAGTTGGCTTAACAAAAACTCTCTGTACCCAAGCAATGGCCAGATGCTGGTATACACTAAGTCCTGTGATTTTACATAGTGTTGCATAACATCAGAAGTTATGACACATGAAGAAAGGAGAACCAAGCCCTTAGGGACAGGTGCAAGGCATTCATCACTGTCTAACTGACAGCAGCACAAATCAAAGATGTCAGAGGGTTAAAAAGCATATTTGGATGTCTTTTTGGGATGTCTGAATAGAGCAGCTGATCAAATTCCAACTGCTAGAAGTTTCATACATGTCCTGTAAGAAGAAATGAAATGTCCTTTAATTCTGGTAAGTGAGGAATGGCAACCAGAGGCAAGTCCCTCCTCTGACAATTTAATTTCACCAAATAAACCAGAGTGCTTTTGTTCAGGGGGCTGAACAGAAGACACTCGTACAAAAGGTGTTGATGAATAAGGGGTGCCATAGCAATTTTTAGATGGGAGGGCTATCTCTTTGATTGATCTAGCTTCAAAGTAGTTCATCTCTTCATGATAATTCACCCTGTGTTCTTACTTACCTTTCTACCACATTTTCCCATCAGTCCGATTAGACTTGGCAGTGCCTTTATCAGATTAATCTTTCTTTCCTGGTTTCTTTTAAATATCTCTGACCCCCAGGATAAACATAACCTATGCCAAGCAGGCCATCCTCTGAAGCTGCTGGAGTTTTCAGTTGCTGATGATCCCCTGCATATATTAAGGTTAAAAAGAGTACTTCCAATTCACTCTAATCCGCTCACTCATCTCTTTTCTATTCTTCGTCCCAAACAGATGAATTTTAATGTTCTTGATTCTGAGAAACAATAATATGCCTGGATTTTTATGAGATAGACTTCAGAGATTACTACATCACACCTGGTTTTCTACTAATGTAATTTTGTACAAAAAAAAGTACTTAAAAGCAGTACATGTATGTGTTAGTTATTTAAGAAACGTATTACTAGGTTTACTTCTAAATGTATTTGCTATTAAAGACTTGAATTCTTCCTCTAGCCAGTCAGGAAGTAAGGGTTCATTCTCAGTCAAGGCAGTTAAGTAGCTAGGAAGGCTACTTCCTAGTATCTTGAAGGAGATATTCTGTGTCACTCCTACATCCCACATACTAGTTCTTTACTTAGCAGTTTCATCGTGTCTGCCTTTTTGTTTTTTCTAGCTTTCATGTGCTTCTCCTCTGTCCCACTTCCGTTCTTTAACATCTCAGTCTGTGCCTTTTCTTGTTTTACAGCTTCAATAAATAATTTCCTCCTTGCTACCATAATACTACTTCACTGCCCTTTTGTAGATCTTTCAAGAAAAGTTTCTACCACCTACAGACTGCAGACCGTATGTACTTTTTAGTAGATTGAATTTAGAATCTGCAGTATTTTAGTACACTGGGGTGGAGAACCACTTAAAGAACACAGGTAAATGAAACTCTTTCCCCTCCTCCCCAGAAACATATATGAAGCCAGGTTACCACAACAACAGACTTGTGTGCATTGTATGTTTGTATTTTAAAACTGTGAAGATTCTCAGCCATCCAGGTGTACTTATTTGGAAGTTAAGTCATGGCAACTGGACTTCTTTCATGTTACATTGAAACGTTTCACTGCTCATCCAAGCAGCTTCTTCGGTCTGAGGAGAGTTGGTAGGAGATCTCATGAATCCTTCACATTGGTTTCACTTCCCCTTGTTCTGAATAGGCTTGTTAGAATGACACTGGGAGGTGAGGGATGATCCCACTTCTGCAGTCCTTCTCCACCCATTGTCATGGGTCCTTGATGGGTGTTAACAGTGATCTTTCTTACTGTGTGTCCCTAATCCTTCTGGGGACAGATAAAAGGGCAGCATGATAAATAGGAGACAGATTGTAGATAAGGCCTCCACCCCTGTTGAGTGAAGGATTTTGTATATGCACACACTGATCAATAACTGCAATTTGAGTCTCATTACTAGAGATGGGGATGACTCAACATTTTGGCGAGTCGTCCCACTTCGTGAGTCATCAAAAGTTGACAACTCACAAAGCACGAAGTTGCCCCTGGGATATTAAATAAATAAATAAATAAATAAATAAATAAATAAATAAATAAATAAATAAATAAATAAATAAATAAATAAATAAATAAATAAATAAATAAATACCCTTTGCAAAGATGGCAGGCTGCCCTTTGCAAAAATGACAGTTGCAGTTTCCCTACCCTAAATGAAGCCACAGCCATCATCTTTGCAAAGGGCAGCCGGTCTCCCTTTTTACACGTTGTGGCTGTGGAGGCCAGATGGAGACCTGGGTGGTGGTAAGGTGGTGTCAGCGGGAGTGAGGGAGCTAAGGGAGAGGAAGGGGTGAGGGTAAGCTGTGGGGGTGTCTGGCTGCCTATCGGCCCAGCAATCAACTGATCAGCAGCCAGTAGGCAGAATGGTTGTTGTTGTTGTTTTAATTACAAAGGACGAATAATACAAGGAAAATATTCATCAATACGTATTCATCGGGACTTAAAATACGGATCGATGAATATTTAACGAATCGGCTATTTTTGTCGAAAAAACCTATCCATTTTTATATTCTTCCCCATCTGTGCTCATTACCCATTGCAACACAAACTAGGGGTCATCAAGACACTAAACCACAGAGTAAGAAACAGCCTCACCTCCATAGAAGCCAAAAAGGAGGAAGCTGGACATCTGAGGACAGCCCTTAAGGCCTGTAGATATCCAAAAAAATTGGGCCTTTAATAGGGCAATGTCCCAACCCAGAAGGGCAATAGAACAGTCTGAGACCCAGAGCCAACCAGAAGAACCTGGTCATTACTTAAAATGGTGGGCGTGTCTGAAAAGCTCAAAAGGATGTTGGTAAACACCACGTAGATGTGCAATTCAAACACACTAAGGCAGAGACTTGTCCACCCAACAGATTGGACACCAAAAAAAACGAACAATATAGTGTATGTGGTTCAATGCAAATAGGAGTGTTCAGAGCTCTACATTGGAGAAACCAAACAGCCACTAAATAGGAGAATGGCCCAGCACAGGAGGGGCATTGACTCAAGACCACAATCAGCAGTGTTCCTTCATTTGAAGGACACTCATTTGATGACCACAATGTACTCATTTTAGGCTGAGATGGTTTGAGAGAAGGGTCAGGGAGGCCATACATGTGTATATAGAAAATCCCTAACTCCACAGGGATGGAGGCCTTAGATACAATCTGTCTTGCTGCCCTTTCAATCTATCATGCTGCCCTTTTATCTATCCTCAGAAGGATTAGAGACACACAGAAGAAAGATCACTGTTAACAATCATTATGAAACATGACAATGGGTGGAGAAGGACTGCAAAAGTGGGATTATCCCTCACCCCCAGTCCTTTGTCCTTTTAACGAGCCTGTTCAGACTATTCAGGGGGAAGTGAATCCAATGTGGAGGATATATCAGGGGTCACCTACCAACTCTCCTCAGACTGAAGAAGTTGTTTGGATGAGTAGTGAAACATTTCAACCTAACAAGAATGTAGTCCAGTTGCCATGACTTAACTTCCATATACTGTATTTAAAAGCTGTTCATCAACGACCAATCTGTTTTGCAGTTTATAGCACAATGACCCACAAAGTCACAAGAAATTTTAGGGTTTTGTTTCATGTGCATGTTATATTTGTACCCCAGCTTTCCACCAACCTGTGCTCAGTGTGGCTAACAACTGTAATAAAATAATAAAAATACATACCGTACTGTGACAAAATTTTGGTAATAATATAATAGTTTAGGAAATCATTTTATTCTCTTTTCCCCCAGATTAGGCTAACAGGACTCTACCAGATGGATTTAAAGAGATCATCAAAGCACAATGATAAATTACCCTAGTCCTGTTCCTGATTATTCAGATGTAATTCTTATTATTTTTGATGGGCACTACTCCTAAGTGACTATGCTTGAGATTGTAGTCTTAATTGTAGAGCAGACTACGGTTTGAGAACATGAAGGGAAAGGAAGTAAAATAATTTTTCATATTGTTATTTGGAGTCAATTCTTAGTGGAATAAAGCTAATGATAGAAAATTCTCAGGTAGATTGGGGGTATTTGGAATATGGATATAAAACATGGTCAGATCTGTCTGAATCTGAAATTGGTTTTCCGTGCTAATTCCCCAAAACATATCACCAAAGACGGTAAAGGAGACTAAGCAATATGTGACACTCTTGAGAATGCTGAAGATGGTTTTGCCAGTTAAGGATGAGACTTACAAAAGGCATGCACTTTGGGCTTAAAGAACTGGAAGTTGTCCACCAGAACTTTCTTACTACGACTCTGGACTTATCAGCAATAGTACAGTGGAGCACCATTTAGGGCCCTGTGGACGTGGGGCACATTTTAAAAGGCATTTGCATCTAGAGATGGGCACAAACTGCTAACTCGGTGATTCATGCTGGTTTGGTTTTTGGCCAAAATGGTGTTTGGCGATTCTCAATCTGAACACATGTTCAGCCAAAAAATGAACCAGTACAAACCAGCAGTTTGTGCTCATCTCTACTTCTTTTCAAGTTCTTGATGTCATCAGGATCCCTGTTGGGGAAAAGGTAGTATATAAATTAAATAAAACAAAACAAAAAACCACAATC